CCCTGTCGTAGATATTGAAGTGTTTTCGAGGGAAAGAAGAATCAAAATTGGTACAATGAGCGAAGTTGTAAAATATAGCAGGTTTTACCGTAGCTATATTTAGCCTGAACTCAAGGCTCGTGACCCTCATTAGCATATTGACGAAAACAATATGGCGTACGCCGGTGCGCAACTTTCGTCTGTTTGAAAAAGATCCCTGAGCTGCATTGAAGTGGTCTTTGTGCAAATTGGTTTAAATATATTTTTCGATGATCAGTTTTCATCATGGTGTTTGAGTCTATTGTGGTTGAACTTATCAACCGCTATCTTGGAGAGTTCGTTGAGAATTTGGATACGTCCCAACTCAAGATCGGAATATGGGGCGGTGAGTACTCCGTCATTTGACACTGAGATTTTAGATGAACTCAAAGAGCCACATTGATCGTTTTGAGTGTTGAGCTACCTTAGCTACGGTTGACTGAATAATTAGAGCTAGATCTAGATCTAGTATTTTTTAGTGAAAGAAGTGATTATTGCATCCCATATCAGGCCAAAATTAAAGGAAGCAGAGCTGAAGCAGTGTACATGTAAGATTTTCAAGATCGTTACTCAGGCTTACTGCTACGGCACGGTTGTCAATGTGTGATTACGTCGGCCTAGTCTATCTTTTCAAACTTTTGGGGGAATCGGGTCTTGAGGCAGATTCATTGCCGGCTTAATTTGAACGTGAAAAGGAAGCAAAATGATGCAGTATAAGGGTGTCGCTAGGATCAGGGTTGATGGAGGGGAAAGGGGGAGGGGTCCAAAGCAGTTCCGTTCAGATTTCTATCCGTTCGCCCTCGGGTCATTATGATTTTGTAGACTCTAGTCTACCCCCAGTCCCCAGGGTTGTATTCTTCACATTTTAGAATACTTAGATCTAGATCGTCTATCTAGAATCTAGATCTAGATCTAGATCTAAATCTAGATCTAGTAGCCTACGAATTTCTCTTTGAAACTTTCAAGTAAGACTAACCAGTAGACTGGTGAGGACAGATAATAATAAAAAGTGAAAATTAAATGAACCACACCACCATCGTTCTGGGGTTATTGTGCTTCACTTCAAAGGTGGTTGTTAATCTCTTGCAAAAATATATTATCATATTATTCTCTTCTCTTTGACATAGGCAATATAAATTTGCTGATTTTTTTGTGGACTTTTTTTTTGGTGTCAGAATTGATGATGATCCTCAAGTTTACTTAAATAAAATTGGATGTGGGTGTATAATATTCCATGACTCATGCTCTGAACGTGAAAGTCACCTTTTGTGAAATCATTTTATGAATGGAGAAAAAGGTTTTTAAGTTCAGCACTTTCAACCTTGATGACTATCTATTCCAGCTTAGTTGTTCCCATCATTAGACATATGATGTAATGATGTGCAGCAGATCCTCAAGTTTACTTATAAAAAATATAAAATTGGATGTGGGTGTATATTATTCCATGACTCATGCTCTGAACGTGAAAGTCACCTTTTGTGAAACCATGTTATGAATGGAGAAAAAGGTTTTTAAGTTCAGCACTTTCAACCTTGATGACTATCTATTCCAGCTTAGTTGTTCCCACCATTGGACACATGTAATGATGTGTAGCAGATCCTCAAGTCTGCCGTAAGCTGACAAAACATCTTTTTTCATTTAGAAAGTGCCAAAATATTTTGTTTGCTAAATGAAAGCCTGGTCAGTTACCCTACTTGTGTGAAAATGTTCCAAGTGAAACTGTGACCCAGTTTTTGAATAAATTTGAATTCAAGTTTTGGAAGAAACTCTCAGTGGTTACGCTGACAAAAAAAACCTGCCAGGTTTCTCTAAACTGCTGTGATAAAAAAAAAGGCGTTTTGTCAGCTTCCGGCAGAAATATGGCCTGATACTATTCTATTCTATAG